GATGAGCCCAAGGTGTTGCTTCGACAGGTCGAAGGGCGCGCTTAGCACATGAAAGACTTCTCTGAAGTCGACGTTCTTCTTGGGTTCAGGGGCAACTTGCCAACCGAGCTTCTTGAACAGTTAGCTACCAAGAGGCTAACGTGCTTGGCGCTCGCACTGCGAGTAAGGACGGTAAAGCCATCAAAGAAGCCTGTCATTACTAATGCGAACTTCTCCCGGCCGATGGCCTTGAGCGCTCGCTGCAGCGAACGACAGCATGAACGAAGCCAATGCAACGAAAGGTATGCTGTGAAGGTGGGCTGACTCCACTCTGCCGCTCTGCGGAAGAAGCACGGCTATGCACGCAAACTGCTGGTCAGGTTCGCGCGCGTCTCACGACGCGCTGCTCGGGAAACAATGTGGTGCTTTAGCGCAGTAATTTCATGCATACGCAGGGAGTTGGACGACACTGTCGACCTGGACTTTTGCAGTCGTGCCGCAGCAAGCGTTGGTGAAGTTGCTCTGAGGGTTGGCTAAAAGGCGAACTTTCCTTTCGTGCACGACGCCAAACCTGGGCGACACGACGGTGTCGAATGGACTGACCCGCTAGGACCGCTAGGAGTCCTGGATGGCAAGCCAGCCTTGCGAGCACTCCTCGCACGTGAACTGTCAAACTTGGCCGAGACATCGTCACCCTTGTCACGGAACGCACTGCGGACTCCGGACATGCCAGTGCTGGACGTGTTGTCAAGCAACACTTGCGGGGCAAGAGAAAGCGGCAGAACCTAAGAAGGCCAAAACCCGCTGAGCCCCCCAGCTTACGGGCGGGAAAAAAAGCGAGGCAAGCCAGCAACTGGTACGCCGTGGAAGTGTAACTCTGAGGAAACTTCTCCAACAGAACTGTCCGTGGGGACAAGGTGACGCTGTGGATCGAAGGGCCGACGGACGAGGGTGCTGTCTCTTCCAATGTGGTGCACTCTGTGCACAGCGCAGCAAGCAGTATGCTGGCCGGTGTAGGCTGAGTGGCCAACACTGTTGGCGGACTGTGCACCTCCGCTGAGGCCCCCTTCCTTATGCAGGAAGGCACATCCCCAGCATCTGGGCTGGGATGAGCAATCAGATATGCTGTGCGCACCTCTTGCAACGGCTGCAGCGGTACGCTGAAGACGGTTGCCGCGTGGCTTCGGTCCACTGGACTGGCTTAGAGCTTTGGGGGGAGGCATGTCCTGGACTGTGAAACTCAGCCGAGGTCTTCCAGCACATGGAGCAAGGACATGCGTCGCCATGTAGCGCTTTGCTGAAAACTGGATTAAAGCGCGGCTTACGCTTACGCCTCCTGCCCAAGGGAAAAGCGCTGCTCCCGTGCCAAGTTGGCCCGGGCACTACTGGGTGGCGTGATGTAGGCGCTTGACATCGCTGTGGACCACACCGTGAAAGCGTCGACTGACGTTCCCATCTGGGGAGTGGCGTGGCTGCCACTGCTGTCTTGTGCGAGACCTCGAAACCCCTAATGATTGGACAGCACTGCCATCCTCTTTTTGTGCATACCACTACAGGTGCCCTCGTCGAGTCCACTCTGTGGGTCGAGTGCTCCAGGTGCTGGAGGCACGGCAACTGCCAAAACAGGATGCGGGCTGGATTCTCGATGCTCAGCAAACGTCTCTCTGAGACGGCGAGCGACAGTAGGACGCCATGAATGACGTAAAATCTGTACGCACTGCGGAGTTGGGTTACACCGACCCTGCTGAGGTATTTGAGGCCTGGCGGTCGGTGCGCACTGCGCGACGGCGGCAGGGCGCGTAGCTGGGGGTCTTGCTGGCTCTGCTGAAGGTGCCGCACGGTGGCGCCCAGTGAATCCAGCGAAGGTCGTCGTGCTGGAGCACTGCTGCAGGAAACAGCCACTAAAAGTGGTGCAAAGGGCCAGCCGAAATGCTTCAGACCTCTAGCCTTGCACCTGTGAACCAGCGCGACGTGTGTGATAGCTCTGTCCACAGCGGCTTCGCTAAGCCTGCCACGGCCACAGAGAGCTTCCACAAAAAGCGGGGATCTGGAAAGCCCGCACTGCTGGGGAAAAACTGCGGACTGCCGCAAGAGAGCATCAATTGGCGAAGAGTGCTGCTGTGTTGAGAGCAGCTGTGGTTCCGCCACTGGCGGTGCCTCTGCTCGGCGAGGCGGCGGGCACTGCTCGCTGAACCTCGCAACCCGGGCGGTGGTTGCTGAAAGGGGAGGGCTGGTGGACACCTAGTCAAGCGCCCCCGGCCTCCTTGGGGCAGACTGCGGCCCCGTGCTCGGAGCTGCCGCAGCTCATGCATTGGTGCATTCCCCGGTCGCACTGCGGCGGGGATCCGGCGGCGACCAGGTCGCATCCGCACTGCAGATTGAAACCGTAGCAAAAACGATTGCCGGACCTGGAAACACTGCTCAGGTGGCGCAGCTCTTTGGGCATGCTGGGGGGCTTAGAACGCTCTGCGTTCTCGTGCTTCTTCCCTTTGGGCTTTCCTTTACCCTTGCCTTTTCCTTTGTTGCTTTTGTTGGCCGCGCTGCGACTGCGATCGGGATTGCTGCCGATCGGGAGACGGCCGAGACCCTTGCTTGATCGGCCGCGCTCTGCAGGCTGGACTGGAAGGAGATGGAGCATGACCATGGGGTCTGCCCAGTTGTCCCGGACGAGCTCGTCCAGCGGCCTGTTCCCCGTCTTGTCCGGTCTACATCCATCCCGGCACTGTCGGGAGATGATCGTCCAGAGCTCCTTGTCGGCACGAACGACGTGCCAACACGACCCCCGCTCCCTTCCTGGAGGCGCGGGCCTGTTGAGGACAGAGAAATACTGTCTCACGAGTCTTTCGTGTACGGTGAAATCAAGTAGCCCGACTCTGTCGAGCGCAAGCCCTCGGCGAACGAAGGCCTGCGTCAGGCTGAGCTCGTTGCCGATCTCAACGTGCACACTGTGCTCTTTCTTCTTGAGGGTAATCTCCCCAGACTCTAGGGAGAAAAACTCCTTGTCACGCCTCACTGAGGCGATCTCCGCACCCCGACTGATGCACTGCGACGGGAGAATATAGCGAACCATGCCGTCCTGCAGCATGAGGGCAGCCTTGTCCACGAGCGAATGGGCGGGATCGTAATCGCCATCGATGACGACCCCACGAAGACGCGCGACCTGCTTAGCGCGGAGCTCCTCGCGCTCGTGTAGTGGTAAGCTTTTAGAGGCGACACTGTCGCCTTCCATCCTCATCTCCAGATCCTGGATGCTGAAAGTGAGGGACTCGAAAGCGAGGCGCCGCACTGCGGCCTTTGTGCCCAGGCTTACGTCTGCTGGGAACACTTTCTTCACGATTTCGTCAAAACGCGCATCACTGAGGCGGTCGGGCTGGTCGGCTACACTGTATGCCAGCTCTCCAAAGGACTTAATGTCGTTCGTGAGGAGCTTCCGGGCGTCCTCTTCGCCCAATAATTGCTGTGCCCGGCTCTTGAACTCCGCGACGCTGTCGACGAGACTGGACATGGTCCTGAACAGGGTAAGGGGGCACAGAGAGTGTGAAAGAGAGAGAGAGGAACCACGAACTCCTACGAGGGGAACGCAGATGCGCTCGCTCATTTTTCACACAACCACCAACGACTTGCTGCACCAGCACGTCTCACGTTGCAGGCGACCTGGAGCCAAGCAAAGCGTGGGCTGCCGAGAGAAAAGAGACACAGCTGAAGAAAACCTTGTGTCACAGCTGCATGGGCAGCACCTATGGTGAAGCTCAGCTGCAGCATAGATACCACCAACGCAGAAGGAGGGAAGGCTCAGAACTCCAGTTTGCACCTTTCGGTCGCAACCAATCGGCGCGAATACCAAATGGCTGCGAGACTTGCAGCTGGTGTCGATGGCAGCGGTGACCACAGGTCAGTGGCACTGGCACTGTCCTGAGTGCGAGTGGTATCTTGAAGTTGAAAACTCTCCGCGGCTCGGCCCCACTGGGGGAGCAGGAGCCAGAGCTAGTCTCGTAGCGCGAAAGACTCGCCCGTCGCTTGGCACATCTTCAGCTGTGCGTCAGGCACAGAAAGCTGCCAGCCGAAAGGGCGGTCCGGCGAGAAGTTGCCATCTCTGATGGCTATGAGAATTTCTTCGCACGGTAATAAAAAACTTCCCAAACCCAAATCTTGGATATATAATCCTGAGGTCATCAATGATATGCCTTGCATATAAATTTATCTCACAAACAGTTCCAATCAACATGACTTCACTCGGA